ACATACATACATACATACATACATACATACATACTTTATCGAAAATCTCTAAATCGGTATTTCAGAAATTCAGGTAAAAACAACACCCTAATTGTCCATAAACCACTTAGGAGTTGGATAGAAAAAGTGTGTTACAGTCGCCCTTCCCAAAAGGAAACATCGGAGAGGGGGGCAGCTATGACGGCTACCTGCTGACAAATGGCAAGGCACTGGTTTAAAACTGTTGGACCATAGACGACACGAGTCTATTGAACTCTATTTCATCTCAGCTCAAGGGGTAAATATAGGACCTGAGTTTCGGCAGCAGTGTGAAGGAATTTTTTTTCTAATTATTCATACGGGGGTAAAAATAGGAGCGACCATCGAAAGGACCCCAGCTTTGCTGAACGGAAAATTCGCATTGAACTGTGACCGAATCCTGTCATCAACTAACGCGTGTGGTCCGTTACAGTCAGTGTGGCGGGTGGATTATTCGAATCGTGCTTATAAGGTAGTATTCAATTTCAGCCACAGATTAAAATGTGAAAGCTCTCTTGTGGTGTATAGGGCTCCTCAGGAGAAGTGCGTGACGAGACAACAAAATGCACGCGCAGGAAGGCTAAGTAGTCTCGGCCTATAGCTAAATACAGTACTATATGGACAGGCCCAAGGGCGGTGCTCACATTTTCCTTTCAAGTGCATTTTTTGGCTGTCGTTGCGGCATCTTGCGGTTCTAAAGACAGTTATTTCCACAAGTTTCAAATATTTAAGAATCAATCATATGTGCGGGGAAAATTTTCGTTGATCTTTGCTGTCGTCTTTATTTTAAAAGAAGCAACTGTACTGTTGATTTTGCATCAATTTTTTTTTTTTTTGATAAATATTATGTGTTCCCGCCCCTACTGATCCCTTATGGTCATTAAACCTTGAAAATATTTACACCAAAGCGCAAAACTCCAAGCTGTACGTATATACATATTAAGCATGTCCCTAATCTCAGAAAAAAAAAATCGAAATTTTCCCTACTAAGGCTATATTCCTATACACAATGATTTCATTCGATATAAAACTTGCTAATTAAGCAGAGCGACTGCTACAGTATTCACGTCACACTCCGAGTAAGAACGCTTGCTTTGATGGTGATCTTCGCTCCGAACCATCATCGTAAGACATGGCTGCTGGGTTATTCAAGGTGGCGTTGAATGTTCCTCTTAGTGAAGTGTGCATCTGTAACGGACTCAGCTGAGGAACACAAGCAAACGGAATTAGTTTTGGTATCAAAGGTATTATTCAAGTTGTAAAGAACAGTTTCTCTCGAATTTTTGCCCCCTTTGAGATGTAACGTCGCGTTATCTGGTTTTATGAATAAAAGACCGCTATCAAATACTGCATCACATAATCAAAAAACGTAAATAGGCCATGATTTCTGGCACTTTTTTGTAGAATTGGCTTATTTCTGAAATACCCATCTTTTGTCGGCAGGGCAAAAAAAAACATCGGATGCCTTTGCAGCTACAAACACCAGCAAGATTAACTTAAATTTTGTTCTTACTGTGTACTTGCAGAAAAACGATGTGGTTGACCGATTTGGTACAGAATCGAAACCAATCATACGACCACGCCTTAAACCGCACATGACAAGTAGTTTCTGATTATCTTTCATGTCTGTACATTTTTAGTTTCACCAATTTTGGTCAGTTTATTGGAAAAGGGATCTATTCTAAGCTATAAGTACAGGATTGCTCGACCCTTCCGTCACACATGCCGGGATTACCTCATAACTTCCTGGTCCTGGGTTTTCGTTCTTGATCTGTTTAAATCTTTGTTGTCTGGTCGTCATCAGGCCCCCTCGTGTTGATCCGTCCTTTAGTTCATATTGTCCTGGTCCTAGAAGAATGAACGGAAATCAGCTTATAGCAATCCCAGACTCCAAAAGGCTGGAAGATGCAGTTTTTCGAAGAGGGCCCTCGTCAAGGAAATCTTTCTTTGTTGGGGAACATTGTTAGTACTTGAAAGAAAGAAAACACCTTAGGGTGAACGCTTTGATGGTTCAAAATTGATTTCTCTAGTGTAATAATTTCAGCTGATCAAGTTAAACCCAGTATTGTAGGGAGCATATATAATATCCCGGCACCAAGTTGAAACACCACAAAAATTAACCACACAAAAATACTGCCTGTTATTGACTTCAGCAGAAACCTCGCCTACGTTGCCGGCGGAAATTAACCTGTAATATCTGGCAGTATGCAGTGTCTGAGAGGCTATCAGAAACCAAGAAAAAGACAAACAACGAAAGGCTGAAAAGAAGTGAGACGACTTAGAACACTAACCTGGGTCACCCTCCTCTGACACCACATGACGGTGTCCGTGGAATCTGTTACTGGAGGATAAAAAGGCGCCCTTTTTCTTGGCGTTCTTGTTTGTCCGCTGAGCGTAGCCATATAGAACCCGACCTGTTGAAAGAGGTACAAGAACTTTATTGTTTGTCCAATGCCTACGAAGCTCAAAAGGTTGACAAACGTCCTAATTTTGGTTGCCTTCTGTCAAAACTTCAAAGTGCCATGAATCAAGCACGGCACAGGTGCCTTAGCTTGCCGCCATCAAAGCCACTCTAACAGAGTGGCTTTCATGGCTTCGGTTACTTCATGTTTCCTGGAAACGTGCCTTCAAACTCCTGATAACGGAGGCTCAGTCAACTTTCGGTAACGAAACATCAAGCAATTTTTCCCGCCAGCTGCGTAAGAAGAAGGTTTCTGAAGCATTTTTTAATCAACGGAACATGGTGCTTTCGTGCATTCTGTAAAGTACGATTAACGCAAACTTAGCGGGGGAAACTAAGGAAATGGTTAAATTTATATATTAGAAAAGGGCAAAATTTTAATTGATAACAACTTTTAAGAGCAAGTACCTTGTGTGGAGTCGTAAGAATGACTGACTTCATAAGAGCCAGGTGGAGGGTTATCCTGATGAACAAAAAACACAGATTAAATGCCAGTCAACGTGCATATTCCTTTATTTGGATTCCGCAAATTCTTCTGGTTTAAAAGCTGCTTCTTCAGGTCGAATTTCACCGGCAACAACAATGAGACAAAATATATTTGACCTCGTAGCCAATCAGACACAACTGAGACCCGGGCCTATGAGCTGCCTGCAACACTTACTAGCACTACCCCCTGCGGGGTGTGAAGTCTGCCAGTAGCTGACACAAACGTTGATGATGGTTGGTCTTCTTTACTTTTTGGTTTTTCTTTTGTCAAGTAGTGGGCTGGACCTTAAACAGAGAAAAATTACAGCATCAAATTGGGAAACAACTAACAGCCAGGTTGTGCTCTTGCTATATAAACTTGGTAGACTAACTGGTTTGCTAACTCATGTACCAGGTGTTTCATCCAATCTGAGTGAAGATGCCTAAAATCACAAAATTTTTCCTGGGTTTAGAACATGCTACAGCTTGCAGACTAAGCGAGAAGCACTTTCGCAAACCTTAGCTGCTGGGTGAACGAGCACGAAAATAAATTGTTTCCTTCATGAAACAATGAAACAATGTCACTAATATCTGAAATCTATTTCCCTGAAGTGAATCATACCTGAAACATGTTGTCATTCTTACATAGCCACTTGACTGTAGTTCAGGACTGCAACTGACTGTAGTCTTTGAGCTAAAGTGTACTCAGGAGATCACTCAAGTCCCGTGGGGGTACTCCCAGAAAAGTTCGGTGGGGGCGTGCAGCTCACTCCCCAAAATCCTTGAAAACCCTATTTATGACCAAAATCTACGATTTTTGCTACCCTATTTAAGACCTGGCCAAAAATTCGATACCCCATTTACGACCGTTGTGGCTGGCACAGTTGCCCTAAACATAAGTTATGAAGGGCTTTTGTTGACGGTCTTATTGATAATGGTGAAAAAATAGCTTCTTCTAGGAAACATACCCAATTCAAGACTAGTGTGCTAAACCATACCCTATTTAAGAGCAAAATGGCCTAAATTCATACCCTATTTCTGACCAAAACGGCTGAAAAACTCTACCCTTTGGGGCCGCACATACCTATATAACCCATATAAGGGAGTGCCCCCCCCAGAATAAAGTGAACATTTTGTCGCAAGAAAATATCCATCCTCACACCAAGGATGGGCATTGGAAATTCTGAGGGGGTGGGTGGTCTCAATAGCCAAATTTTCTAAAGGGAAAGCATGAAGCTTAACTGGAAATTCCAGGGGGAGAGGGAGGGAGATACAAACCAAATGACCNGGGGGGGGGGGGGGGACACAAACCAAATAACTATCCTTGGTGGAGGTATGGATATTTTCTGGAACCACACAATTTCCCTTAAATTATAGCAATACTCATACCTGGCATTTGTTCCTCCTGCCTCCTCATCATTGGTGCTATTCTTTGTGATGTTGAACCAAATGCACCTTTCCGGGTGCTCTCAACACTACAAAAGAACAATAATTCAGACCCCTTGGAGACATCAAAGGTTGAAACTTTAGCCTATGTTTCCAAACAGAACTAGCACAAGGCATTCAAAAGTCAACTGGATTGTACACCTCGCTTAGCCCTGTGTAGCTGGTGCACAGGTTTAGCTAAAATCGTCTTTTGAGTTAAATAATGCAGTTACTGTACTCTTTTGATTTTTTGGACAACTTACTTTCACTTCCCTTATACTCGTGAGGGAGGTCTGACACCTGGATCTGAGATTCAATACAGATTGGCTAGATGGCGTACAATGTACTTTCGGAGTTCTGCATACCATCTCTTATTGCCTGTGCTCTATGCAGATCTGTTTTTCCAAAATATTACTTTTCCCACAACCAGTTAGTTGTAAGAGGATTTACATGCATCTCTCTCAAGGTTTGACCTTATAATTTTGTCACTTAAATTGAACAAAAAGCAGCTGAAAACCTGTACTATCTCATCTCAGCCTAAATGCCTACTAAACTGCAAAAGCTTGTCATCCTGTTCAACACTCTGAATGATCCAAAACTACTTACTGAGCCTTTCTGATCAAATCTGAGGTCATATCTGGAATAGAATAAGTTCCTGGTCCTGGTAACAGAGGGCAAAAAATTAAAAAAGTAAACTTTAAAGGTACAAGTTATATGTTACTAGCTTGTTTTCTCAAACTTGAAACTGCACGTAATATTGTAAAAATAAAATAGAACATAAATCTTTTGAGCTTCAGATCAAAATAGTTTATCATCTTGAGGGTTTTATTTGTATCAGCGAACAATTTTATTTGTGAACAGCGAACAGTGTGTTAATATAAGGCTCACCAGGAGTTCTTTTCACATGATGTTCTCCCTGAAATCGCACAGATGTCTGACCAAAAGGACTTCTTTTCAGCCCTGTAGTCCTATGAATTAAACGGGAAAATCCTTTAGTTTAAAAATGAAAATGCTCTATTACAGGAACTTGTCTCCTTTTACTTTCAACATTAATCCTTTTATTTTACATGACTTTGAGATCAAAGATATAATAGCTGTATTATTTTAATCAAAATGTTTATATTTTTCACACCTGCTGTTTCTTAAGTTGTACACAACTAGTTTATACCTTTTAAGAATTTCTAAGGAGTTTCGAGGATCATTGTATGTGCCTGGGGCAGGTGAATCCTTCTTGCTGTCACCAAATCTCTGAAAGAAGTAACAAGAGTGCAATTAACATTAAGAGTTTCTTTTCCTGTGTTTTATACATTCAAAAGTAGTGCATGGCTATAGTTGGTAGTATTTACCCACAAAATAAAGAACAGTGTGTAATATAAGGAAACATGCAATCTCAACATTTCCCAACCAACCAAAATGAAGGATGAAAGAATTCCTGTCAATTTGCCTTTATGTTTTCAAAGAAGAACTCTGACTGGGCACAATTAGGACAGTATCAACTTTTGTACAACCTTAAGATAAAGAATGGCATCACTTATGATTAACATCGATGACTTTTGTTCCCAACTCAAGTACAAGGTTGTAGTCCACCACAGTTTGCTTGCATTCAGTAAGCTCCAGCTACATGTAATGTACATGTACACATGTTCTAAGAGTGTTCGAGTGTCTTACCCTGGACTGAGTACCAAATGGAGGGTGAATGATCGGCTCCTCTTGATTGACAGGTGGAGGTTTGGTTGAAAACTGGCTTTTAATCTCATACTTTCCTGGCCCCGGCACAGCCTGCAGGTGAAGGAGAGTGAGAAATGAGTTTCTACTGGACTTTTAAAACACAGAAGCAGCAAAATAACTGCAATAAATAACTCTCATTTTTAATATGGATATACCACAATTCATCCTGCTGCAGCAGCTATATGAACTTAACTCTCTTGGTAACTATAATCAGTAGGTTATAATCAGTCAGTTATATGATTGATAAGCAAACAAAGATGGTGAAATTAAAAAAAAAAAAAAAAAAGCTCGGAAATGACATGTGAAAGGTGAATTGATCAACATGACACGAGCATGGGACAAAAAAGAAATCTGAGTCCCAGACAGGAATCAAACCCATGATCTCCCAAACACTGGGCAGGTGCTAATCCACTGATTGTTGACAAATTACATATGAAAATAAAAAGCCACACTATTCATTAAACTTGTAGCAGGATCCCACAGTATAATTTTTACATACCTTTTTCTCTTCATGTACCACTATAGCCTCATGATAACGGGGGAGCTGGAGGAAAGAAACATATTAAAGTTGTATTAAAAACAAATACACCTTTTGCTGTTCATTTACAGAAAATAAACATTCATTTGTGTCCAAATTTCTTTCTTTATGGTCAATAAACTCTTTAACACCAATATGGCCTTCATTTGCGCGTAAGGAACGTTCAAGAATAACATTTACATATGCATTAACATTCAAAATCATCAAAAGAAAAACAATACCTTCATTCGACATTCATTGACTGTAAAGGCATTTTCATTTTGGTTGAAAAAAAATTCGTTGTCGCAAAACGACAATCATTTACACTTTACGACATTCAGTTTTCAACAAAAGACTTTCAATAACACAATTTGCATCGGCAGGTTTCTTTTACAGGTCACAGGTCACAGG